GATGATGGAATGCCGATTTGCACTTTGCTGTCACCTGAGGAATCTTATTTAAAGATTCGTCGAAGAGAACTCCAATGTTACCCGCTTTTGGTGAAGCCAGCACTCTCTCATCACATACATGAATAGAGACCTTAAGCATCGACAACGAAAGAGACGACGACGACGAACTGCACCGTGAAAAAACTGGGTCGAGAACATCGTTTACGGCGGGAAAATTCGAGAGTTAAGCGCTGGCTTCCTGTGGACGACGAATTTCCCCTGTAAACAAAGGAAATGCGAGTGATCGAAGTGTTCAAAATGTCTTTTCACAGTCTGCCCTAAACGTTCCATAGCTCCTTGCCTGTGTTTCTCTCGAGCTGCTCCTTCTTCCTTTTCTGTTTTCTTCACCTCGGAGCTTTTTTCCTCTGCTAACTTCTCTTGTCAATTATCTCTTCTAGAGCTTGGTCTAGTTCGGTCGCTTCGCAAGTGATTCCAATGGCATTTTCCTCTTGGCTTATTTTCGCTTTATGCTTGGTAATCAGCAAGGTCAGTCTGTCTTTCGAGGACCTTTTATTGACTTTGAATTTCGGATGATCAAGGCCACTCAGGTTTACAGATATCCGGTTCCATACATCTCCCCTTTTCTTACTTCTATACGGATGTTAGTAGCTAGGATTCCATAACTCAGCATAACACTTCTTGGCATAGCACCAAATCATGTTTTTTTTTTTTTTTTACCATTCCGTCTCCTTTACAAAGAAACATAGAATCAACGGGTTACTAATGTTTGGAGACAAATCACTACAGTTCATAAAAAAAAAAAGGCGGAACAGGTTTTTGCTTCGCGAAAAGCCGGACCCCCCCCCCCGGAGGGGGGAGGTACTCCCATACATTACCTGTACGGGTATGTGCCGCCCAACGGGGTCGTGATTTTGAAGCTCCTGATTTAGAATGGGGTATCCATTTCAGAGGTATTTTCTAGAACGGGGTATAAAACATTGTGGATCACGGCTTTATCTTCTGCTTAAAATTGTTGCTGATTATGAAGAAGCATTTATTTGATGTATAAGTCGAACAAATAAAGAAATATATTTTTTAAAAAAAAGGGCTATTTCAATTTACAAGCTTTCTAGAACGGAGTATTAAAAAATTGGCCCATTTCTAGAACGGGGTATCAGTTTTAGGGCGAATTCTAGAACGGGGTATAAAAAATTGGCCCATTTCTAGAATGGGGTATCAATTTTAGGGGAATTTTTTTTAGAACGGGGTGCCAATTTGGAGTCCCGGGCGGCACATACCCACCCAAAAAATACTCAAGTCCCCCCCGGGGAAAACCCAAACAAGAAAGTTTCAATGCGACTCGCTAGTGCTTGTCTACGAAGACCTATATCAATCGATTTTCTGGTGTTTTTGGTACAAGAATGCAAAGAACAAATACGTCGAAAGTCGAATACGCAATTGAGATGAAATTTCTTTCAGGAAAGTGGGTTTATGGGGTAAAAATACGAGTAAATTTACTCACGTTGACTGCTAGACGCCAAGCCACAGGTTTACACGTTCTCGACAGCATGTGGACGACGAGCCAAGCATGTGCAGTAGCACTCAACTCGCCTTGGCCACTTCCGGTAGGTCGTCGTCGTCCCATTCGTCGTCAATGCTTAAAGTCCCTAATATGTGACAAAGGAGATCAAGCACAGTGTAAAGATAATATCAAAAGAAGTTTAG